TACGCTAACTTGTCAGCCTATGCCCTTCCTTGTTTCATATGAATGTGTGAATTACTTTTTTTACTGCAGTGCAGAGTAAAATTTGCAAAGAAAATAAAATTCTTTTGCATGTGACTTTTATTATGGTTCAGTTACGTATACGTTGCTGTAATTAAAAACAAGTTAATGTAGTTAACATGGCTTGATGTTAACTTTTAAACTCCCTTGTCTGAAATATATTTTGCCTATTATATATTTACTATAGTCTATCAAGGCAAGTTAGTTACTATTCAGTTGTCTGAATGGCAATTTTACATGTCCTGGCTATGGGACTTCCCTTATAGTCTCACCCTGGTTAACATAATCAGTGTTTTATATACTGTAGAATACTTTATTTTCACTTGGAATTTATTTTTGCTATTTTCGCTTAAGGAATGATTCAGTGAAAATAAAATCCAGCAAATATACATTTTTTTCCTATATTTTACATTAAACATAAATTCCACACAAAACACCCAAAAGGTCTTTTCAGTGAAAATTAATTCCAGCTAAAATAAAGTATTTTACAGTATTTGAATACCTATTTGTCATTGTCAACCCTGTATGCATGTGCATAGATCCCTAATATTTTATTTCACATATACCGATACATGTATGTGTACATTTACTACCACCATGTCAATTTGGTTCAATATTCCATGGTTTAAATAAAGAATGAACATATATGGGTGCTTGTACTGTAATCTGAAATGGAATATGTTTGTATAAATAGGATCAAACATTTGTAGTTGAAAAAAGATTTGGTGTCAGCTGCTACTTCTTGTTCACCTAGAATTACCTGTTACAGAACAGATAGAATAATGTGTGATTAAAAATGTTCCATTTCAATCTGGGCTGTAAAGCCAATAAAATTTATAAAACAAAATAAAAAAACAAACAACAACAAAATTTGTTACTTGAACGATAGTGGGCAATACATTGAAGATAACACAGAGTATTTCTATGGAATTGTCCCATTTGATGAAGCATAGGCATATTTGAATTTAAGTAGAAAGTAATAAAGCAGTATATCATTGGGTCACCCAAGGAGGTGGTTGTTACAATCAACTGTATGTAATATACTTTCTGTAATACATGCAGATAATGCGAGTCACTGTTTTTATTTACTGGTACACAAAATTTAGAACACTAGTCTTGTCCACCATGCCGACAAGATATTCTAGTTCTTAACCACTGCATTTACAAGTAAAACCTCATTGCATAAAACACTAAAAATATTTATTACAACGTGCTTGATCTGAATGGATAAAAGCTGTTTGTAAACAAAGAGTTTTTTTTGATTTCCCGTGTCAATATTTCATCGTTTCATATTTTTTTTTCAGAATTACCATCTCAACTCCAATAGTATGTTTGTATTCTGGGACTACTTTGCACTCATCCTGTACTTTGTGTTGATCATTGGCGTTGGCCTTTGGGTAAGTGATTTTGTTGTTGATATATTGTACAGTGGTGCATTTCTGGTCTATGTGCAGTAATGTATCACAGACATTGCACACATCTTTTTTTTTTTCAGTATTTTTGTTACATTGAATGATTCAGACCAACCTGATTTTATGTACTCAATATTGTATGGTGTTTATTTTATTTTATTTTATTTTATTTCATTTTATTTCATTTCATTTTTGCTATTTTTTTCATATTTCATTATTTTTTACTTTTTATGTATTTGATTATGTTCTCTTTTGTTTTGTTTTTTTTAATAATTGCAATCAACAAATAAATAATAGATCAAAATCAAATAAAATGGATTAAAAATTGGGATCTTATTTTAATCAGATTGAGTTCAGACTGAATAATTATTTATTAAAAACAAAAATGTGGTTTTGCTCTTGCGTAAAATATTATTTGTATTATAGAATAATCAACTTGTTGACAAATTGGTTGAAAAAGCAATATATAGTGGTTTGCGTGTTAATTGATTTTAGTTTCAATGAAATTAAATTAACTTCCTTCCTCTGTTTTTGTTTGCAAATTACCATGACCAATTTATCAACTATGTACTATTTTAGTTATTTTTGCTGGTATGAAAATAATTTTTCGACATTATATGACAAATATGGTCAAACTAATAAGTTATTTTGCAATAAAAACAGATGGTAGCAATCGTCAGTGTGTATCTATATTCACTGTCAAGTGTCAATTCTTGTAACCAACATCAAAATGTTTTTATTTCCTCAAAAACAAACATGAATAGGTTGTATTATTCAGGCTGTTTTAAAATTAACATCCAAGAAGAATTTACTATTTATAAAAAAAAACTGTTTGATGTGACAAACAACAGCTTTGTACTGTATATACAATCTATCTAAATCACAGGAAAATGTATCTGTAACACAAACTATTATTTATTTATTTATTTATTTTTGTTTGTTTGTTTGTTTGTTATTGTATGACTTTCACAGCTGTACACCAAACTACATGTAGTACACCAGCCAAAATACCCTCCTGTTCACATGTAAGAAATATTCTGTCATTTCCTCCAAATATGCCAGTGTTTAATAATTTAATAAAATTCATCCAGCATCATTTTAAATTTCATATCAAGTCCTCAACCTTGAAATTAAATGATAGTGTTACAAACACTGGTGTCCCTTTTCATGTTCAAACATGTTTTTCAACTTTGTTTTCTCACAAATGCCAGTGTAACACCTTCTAATTTCTTTGAGTGAGAGCATAGCTATAGCTACCTACTGAATTGCTACTAATTGAGAAAAAATGGTTCATGCAATTTGAATTTTATTGAATGTATCAGAACCATATAATCTTGAATAAAATGCCATTAATTGCTTCATAAAAACTGTTGTTTGCTTTTAAAATTATCATAAATTGGTGAAAATAAAGGGTAGTCTAGCATGCTAACTAAAAATGTATATATTATATTTTTTTGTATTTTATCTTTCTATTTACTACAATTTTACTCAAAATCTACTGGTATATAATTGATAATTAATATGCTAGAAACTGTAAAATGGCTGACAATTATTGTCTGAATACTTAATATACAGAATATTTTATGTATGCTATTTTACTTCACTGTCTTCACTGGGATTACTAACAACAAGGAATGTTAAATAAACAGATTATTGTCACTTGTGTTATTAAAAATAGTCTCCATAGACACCACCAGATGGTGCAGTTCAATACAGTGTGTATTCATAATAAATGAATAAAACCATTATGATGATCAGGGATAAAAGTCTGTCGCTGCCAGTATGTCTGCAATGTTAACATTTTGTAAATTTAGTAATTATAATCTGATCATTAATATATATTATTGGTAATGACGGCCATCTTTGTCGCGTATCTATAATTATTTGACAACAGTTGACATTCTGACCTGAATATGTACATTAGCTGCTGAGTCAAGGAGTATGTTTTCAGAATGTAAAGAAACGAAATGTTCTTGGTGTGTAAGCTATACGGTAGTCACAAAAGCTTATATTTGGGATGTAATACTTTTATTACATGTCTCTCAGCTGGGTGTACTGTGGAATACTTTATTTTTGCTTGGAATTAATTTTCGTTATTTTTGCTGAAGAAATGATTCATTGAAAATAAAATCCAGCGAAAATATCTTTTTCCTATACTTTACATTCAACTCATTAGAAATCAGTGAAAATAAATTCCATACAAAACACCCAAAAAGTTTATTCAGCGAAAATTAATTCCAGCTAAAATAATGTATTTTACAGTAGTTTAATTTACAAAAAAACTATATCAGAATTCAAAAGTCTCTAAACTTTCTAGATTGTCCCAATCTTGAATTGTATAATATAAAAAATATATAATGCTTCATTGTTTCGGGCTCAGCCAAACCAGGACTTATAATTCACTTCAAGAAAAAAACATAACTGTTGCTGTTCACACTGTTCATAAAAAATTGATATGAGCTTCACTTCAATGTGTATCAGAATGAATACATATGTACCTGTACTTTAATTTGAGGCAAATATAATTATTTATTAAGATTTATGTCAATTCAATGAGATAACAGCTAGATTTCAAGATTTTCTGGTCATTTTTGCAACCATCTTTTCGATAGTGAAATAATTACCTTAATTTGTTTTATTTCACAGTCTATGAAAGGTCGTGATAGGTCAAATGTTGCTGGATATTTCTTAGCTGGTAAAAACATGATTTGGTTTATGGTGAGTAGTAATGATCATTATCAACCCACTCAACTTTATCTTACACTCTCAGCTACGCTACGCTACGCTATGCTGCACTGCACACTACACTACACTACGCTACGCTACGCTACGCTACGCTACGCTACACTACACTACACTACGCTACACTACACTACACTACACTACACTACACTACACTACACTACACTACACTACAAAATACAAAATTTGTTGGTGTTTTTTGAAGTTATTTTATATTTTTTGTAGGTAGGAGGGTCTTTATTTTCTAGTAATATTGGCAGTGAACATTTTGTTGGATTGGCAGGATCTGGAGCTGCTACTGGTATATCAGTTGGAGCATATGAACTCAATGTGAGTAGAATTTATACTAAGTCCCATCCAGAAGTGAATACAAAGCTTTACACAATGCATTCATTATTATCATGTGCTTCAATCTTTCTAGGCGATGTATCTACTGCAGTTACTAGGATGGGTTTTCTTGCCTGTGTACATAGCTGGACTGGTAAGTAGTAGTATGGTTTTCAAGAAGCTTTGTTATTATTCAAGTTTTTTCAGACCACATATTAGAAACAGAAAAGTATCTATAAAATGTTTACACAGCAGAATCACTTTGTAGCTAGTTATAAAAAGGGTGTTGTCTAAATGTATATGTACATATGTGTATTTGTAAATACAACAATTATTCACTGTTTTAATTTTTAATTTTCAATTTTCACTGATAAGTAAAATGCATTAAATTCATGTAAACATGTGAGATAACAATAGAAATAATTGCTTTTCTGTCAAGCTTATGAACTTAAAACAAAGTAGAATTAATCAAAACATCAAAATAGTGAAATTAAATACAAGTAAAAATAAATGGTTTTACAGTAGAATATGTTTTGTACATGTATCTACGATCTTAAAGTGTGATCCCTTGCAATGTACATGTATTAGTATACAGACACTAACCAGTAATCAAAGGAGTTTATGTTGCAGTGAAACCGAACATGAATATAATTATGATATTAATTCACATGTACCCTGGTACCTTATTCTCAGTGTTATACTATGCCAGAATATCTAAGTAAACGATTTGGTGGAAGACGGATACGAGTCTACTATGCCTGCCTCTCATTGGCTTTATATATACTGGTTAAAATATCGGTAAGTGTTCTGTTTGTAAAATATTGTTTGCATTTTGAAATGGTACAATAATTATTCATGATTCCTGGGGGAATACATATTCATTATATAACATCTTTCAATTTGTCTACTAATTCAGAATAGGTGAAAATAGACTGACAAATAGTAAAAAATAATCATGTGACACATGCAACTTGATATCTCACCCTACTTAATCTAATGTAACCCATAAGATTATAATGAGAATACTGCAAAACTTGCACAAAGGCAGTATGGGAATTGTATTAAAATATGATCCTGTACTGCCTTTATGCATACTTTGCAGTATTCTTGTGATAACCTTTTTATTAGTCCCCGTTCGGACGCAGTCCGAAAACGGGGACTTATGTTTTGCCCTGTGTGCGTCCGTGCGTCCGTGCGTCCGTGATCACCTGTATCTCGAACATGCATGGACCGATTAAGTTCAAACTTCACTCATACATCACACATTATATGGGACATATGCACATGCATTTCTTTCATGATCCGATTAACGATAGCCGAATAGCGGCCATTTTAAGGCCGAAAATGCATCAAAATCGCACATTTTCACCATTCCGGACCCGGAT